ATATTGATATATTATTTATATTACAGAGGGAGGGGTTGTTTATTTAATCCTTACAATTAGACATTTAGGCAAAATACATAAGTGTTATTTAGAAAGGTGTCTGAGAAAGGTAAAGGATGTATATTAATACTCATAATAAATGACAACTAAATATTTAAAATGTTAATAAGTGCTTAACTAACTCATTAAATGTATAAGTTATTAAATACAGAAAATACATCACAATGTTGTAAACTGTAAATAAGTAATTCCTTAAACGTTTACAAGTTTTTATTTTTCTTGAAAAACTAAATTATTGGTTTATATTCTCGTGACCTTAATTATAAATTAATTGATTATAAAGTATCAAAAATTTTCAATTTTTATCCACAGTTCTGCATGAATAATACAGTTTATAGAATCGTTTGGCCAAACGCTCCCTAAATTATAATTAAAATGGCTCATATATAAAATATTTAATCTTGACTTTATATTGACTTTTATTTTTTATTAACAATAAACTTTTTAATTTAAAATTTTTAATTAATTATTATTTACTTTTGCTGACATGTTTTTTGAATAAAACCTATTAATGTCAACAACGATCCAGATCACTCCGCATATTGCACATCGTAAACCAAGTAAACACTATACAAACAAAGTGTACTTTTGCCCTTTAAATAAACATTGTCGTAATTCTTTAGACATTTATGGATTGAATTAAATTAAAATTAATTTGTATAATTTTTAAAAATTATTTATATTCATAAGTTTTGCCAAATAAAATCCAAATCATATTTATAAATACTACTATTTTATAATCAACTTTTATTAAATATTTTGTGACACAAATTGTGATATTAATTGATTAATGATTATGATAATTATAATCAAAGCATAGCCACTATTTTCAACACTAAAACGACTGTTTGTAAGTTTATTTTTGTTTATTTTAATACAAACTAATTATAATAATATTTTAATGATAAAATTAATTTTATTTAAAATATTTTATTATTTGAGAGAGAGAAAACATTGTATTTTCATTTACTCTTAATTTAATCTAGTTCTAAATTGAATTGATCATTGTAGATACTTAAATAAAATGTTATACAGATAAATAGAATACTGTACTGTATATAGAATTTAATTAAGATACAGTATTCTAAACAACTAATTCTTATGGCAAACAAGTCTAAGGACTTGACTACAAATAACCACTTCATTAACATCTTTGTTGGCCAAGAATTGTGTCCACGCGTTAGGGTTGGGCCGATCGGCCACTGGATTACACAACACATCAAACATGATATCCTCGAGACCTCGGGTTTCGCTCACAAACTGCTCGTTAGTCACAAACTTGGACTTAAGTGTAGCGATAGTTACCGGCAGAAAAGCTATTGTAATATGGCATTGAATATGTCATTATTTATTATATTAAATAATATTATACTTATAAATTATTACAAGGTACATGATAGAACAGGCGGCGTTAAGCTACTATGTTTAGATTATATTTTATTGATTGATCCCTACAGTTAGTGTATAATTATAAATATGCTAGGATAGAAAATAATTATTAAATAAATATTTAACAATCTCAATGATTTGCATGTGTGAGAAAAGCACATAAAAGTGTGCAATAATTATTGCCAATAAGTGAACGAACCTATTATTTGTTGCCGATTCATAGGGTAGGTCTTGTCCACGCACTCAAACACGTCGATCGCAAACCCGTTTTCATCCAAAGCCCGGCGCCAGACATCCATTTGCTGATCAATCGATAGACACCACTCTTTACGGGCATTGGTCGGTAATTTCTGGTTCAGATCGTGGTGTAAAACGCATACGGCATGAATGCAACCCCCGGTGGCCAACAGGCGCTTGCATTGCGACAACAGTTGACTTTTGTCGTTGAAGTAGTGAAAGCAAAAGTTGGAGAAAATGAGGTCTACTTTGGACTCCAGGCGCCGGATATCGTCGCTCAGTTGCGGCCACGAGACTGACATGTCTTGTGTGATATACTCAATGGTGGACAGACTGTTGACACTCTGGCCGTACGCCGTCATCGCTGGGTTGGCGTCGATGGCAATGACCCGCTTGTGTTGGACGCGAGTGGCCAACAGTTTAGTGATTCCTCCGTTACCCGAACCCAAGTCGACAATAATGTTATAATCTCTTCAAAAATTAAGTCATCGATGAATAACGAGAGAGAGAGAGAGAG